CACTTACATACAGTGCCAAGGATCATCCTGACCTCCTTGAATATATCCAATCTCTTTTTGAATACACTAGTATCTTTGGTTCCACAATACTTCAGATGTACTTACATGTTGCACACTAAACCCTAGGATCTTCCTTTCATCCATTTCTAACAGTCTGACTGATCATTTCATCAGCTCCTAGCCTGCACAATGATGATTCCTCCTATCCAGCAGCCAGCCAGTGAGAGTTTCCTAAGGAAGTCACACAGCTAGTTTTTAGTCTTGTATGGAAGTAATTTCCATCTCCTTGAAGACCTGCATTGGGTCTCTCCATATTCTCTAGCTTTATTAAACTTTTTCAAGGACTGCAGACCGCATTCAAACCAAATATATGTACATAGCAGCATACCAATATTTTCTTGCATTCTCATCCTTTCCAAACAATTAATATTCTAATTGGTTCCTTTGGGCAGACATTTTCAGACACATTTTCAGAAAATTATGCATAATAGAGAAGAACTACCCCCAAATACCACTCCACAGCCCCTTGTGTTGTATGTATGTTAGGATACTTTTTTCCCATGTGAATTCCTCTGTGTTCTGTCAACATAGGCTTTATTTACTATGGAACACATATTTGGTAGTCTAATTTACAAGCTTCAACATGCATGAAGACTAGTATCATATTTATTACCTTCCCTTTCTGTGTTCCTAAGGCTAATTTAAAAATCATACAGGAAAACACCTCACACAGCTCTTACAAACTCCTTTAGACTCCAGCAGTCAAATCCACTTGGGTCTGGAGAGCTTTATCAACTGCCCTAAAAAGCTGCTACTGGTACATCCATTTCAAGTAGTTCCTTAGACTAATATCTTACAGAGCACAGCTTGACATGAAAATTTCCAACTTTCTCAGCTCTGGAAATTGATGCATGTGACTTGGCTTTTCTTTCCAGATGAGAAGCTAGAGCAGCAACAGGAACATTCTCTAACCCATGGCAAACAGCAAGCCAAAAGCCAGGGTTTCTTTGAAGCTTCATCTGCTGTCCTGAAAACCAATGCTTTGTTCATATTTGCATTGCTCAGCATCCATCACTGCAGTTAGGAAGTCACTGAACACAAGCAGCACTGTACAGATCCGTGGTACTGAACAGCTTTCTGCCAAACTCTAAGCAAACAAGACAAGGAATGTAAAGACCTAAGACTCACAGAAATATTTTATCTGTGACTTGGCAGTGCTAGGCTAACAGAATCATTTGGGGCCTCTAAGATTTAGTCTATTCCAGACTACAAAGGAAGCAAGTGCAAATCCAATTCATATTTCCTTAAATATAGCTAATTAAAAGCCAGTTAAAAATACAATTAACAGTGACATAAAATAGGAGAAAAGCCAGACACAGAGCATGTTACAAAGAAGAATTCAAAGCATGTCTGCACTTACCACATAACATACACATTAAGTGGGTACAGAGACAAACCAAAGAGCCTTACAACATATAAGAGTCAAGACCAATGGACAGATACTTTTTAAAACTGACCTATTCCTTGTGTTTATTTGGGGTTCAGAACTGTTCAAAACTGACCTATTCCTTGTGTTTATTTGGGGTTCAGAACATGGTACCACTATTCCACATCAAATTAGTCATATCTTTCATTGCAAAATCTGCCTGGATTTTAGCAATTCATCTGATTAGAGCCAGAATCTTCAAATTGCATCATTGTTTAGCTGTGAGTATTCTACCTGCCAAGAGAAGGAATTGAGGTGAGGAGTCAGATTTTTATCTCAGGTTTCATTTCAGCAACTCCCATGAAAGTGTACAGACAGGCTGTATAAAGACTTCTTCTGTGTCCATATAGGTGTACAACTCTATATCCTACAAGTAAACCATGCTGCAGTGCCTGCTCCATTCTTTATAGCCTTTATCTTGCAAGATTTATCTCCTAATTACTTTATGTGAAGCAGTAAGCAAACAAGGGCACACTGTACCAGCTCCCTGACAGACTGACAAGCCTTTTGCTCCAGGCAGGTGGGACAGATAACCAAACTGGGAAAAGCAGGAAGGGAATAAATACTCCCATATTAGCAGTTTACCCTTAGCTGAAACAGGACATGCCTTAGCAATGAAAGTGTTAAAGAGAGAAATACGATAAAAGGTGATATTTGTTTTATTGGTTGCTGCTGAGAACTCTGTTTTGTGAGCGCAGCAAAGCAATAAGAGTGTAAACAACTGGAAGAGAGAAGCAAGGAGTTGTCATAACTGGTACCTGCAAGGATTAGCCAGAGATCCTTGCTGAAGAGTTCAGGGAGCAAGCTAGACTTCACACCTGGGCTAGAACTCAAGTTTCGTCAACTGTTGAATTTTTAACTTGATGCTTATCACCCCTCCCAGAATGAGTTAAAACTGTTTAGCATGTGACCATTACCAGGTAGAAACCCATAGGAGGGACTGAAATAGTGACCATTTGACAACTTACCTTCAGACTAACTCACACCCTCTGCTCTGTACTCTGCTGTTAGGGATTTTCCCTCCTGCACAGCTACATGTACAGCAGTAGCATCTTAAGAGTGCCCTTCCACAAGACTAGATGAGAAGCAGGAGTTTGACTCCTCCAGCATCATGGTGATGGATTTGTGAAGAGATTTTTCTTGTTCCTTGGTCAAGTGTCCTTAGAGCACAGGTATATGCAAGCAGCCTCCTTTTCTTGTACTTGCCAAGGACTCAATTCTAGGTGTTGTCACAACAAGAATGACTGCAGGAGGAGAGCCTTCAAAACTTAAACTCTATCTAGTGTTTGAATTCCAACTAACCTTACAGAGCGGAGTTCAGGCAGAGTCATAAAATCATGGAATCAGAAAATGTCCTGAGGTGGAAGGGACCTACAAGAAACATAAAATCCAGCTCCTGGCCCTACACAGAACAGCCCAAGAGGCACACCAGGTGCCTGAGAGCGATGTCCAAACACTTCTTGGACTCTGTCAGGCTTGGTGCTATGACCACTTCCCTGGGGAGCCTGTTCCAGTGCCCAACCACCCCTTGGGTGAAGAACCTTTTTCTGATATCAACCTAAACTTCCCCGACACAGTTCCTGCCATTCCCTCAGCTCCCATCACCACAGCGGAGAAGTCAGTTCTGCCCCTCCACTTACCCTTGTGAGGAATCTGGAGACTGAGTCATGCTATACCCATTCATAAATGAAAAGGGAAATCACCCTTCTGCAGTTAGGTTTCTTTTATAGTGCCAGCTGCTGAGCAGAGCTTTTGGACCACAGTTTTAGATTTAAAGGCTGTAAGTTCCCAAACCCATTTTTCCAACACAAATTACAACAGGGAATTTAGTGAAGTGTTCCCATTTACCTTTGTACACTTCACATAGCTGTGGAATCTCACGATTAGCTGATACAGTACTACAGTGTATATTTATCTCTTTACAGAGACATACTCTGCTTTACCAGCCATCCTCTCTCTCCATTATATACAATGTCCTGAAATGCAGCCTTGAGGGTGACAGCAAAGCAGGATGGACATTTTGTAACGTTGAAAAAGCTTCTAGCAGTTACCTGTTACCCAACAGTTAAGATTGTTATGTTTTGTCCTTTAAAGCTAATCACACATTTCTGTAATTGACTTCTGCTTTTAAGACTCCAGCAGAGCCTGAGAAGCAAGATAGTTGTCTATAAGGCAGAAAAAAAACATGGAATAGATTGAAGACTCGTAAGTGGCAGCTATCAAAGCAAACAGACGTCCTGCAGCATGTCACTGAGGCAGGGAAGCAGCATAAATCAACTGCCCATCTGCAATGGAAAAAAATTACTTCAAAGGGAGGATTGATAACCCACTGCCTCTTATCAGCCCCAGAACTCTTTCATAAGCTCCCTCTCATGCCAGTTATATTTCCTGTGGGTTCTTCAACAGCCATGGAAGAAGAGAAAGGTTTGATAAATCATACACTACAGAAGAAAAATAGCTGTAGCTGTAGTAGTACTGCTGTGCAGTAATGTAGCACTGCTTCTCAATATTCAACACAAACTACAGAAGTAAAACAGCAAGAGTTGACAACTGTAACATTAGAATAATTACAAATAATTGTTTTCAAGCTCTGTAAGGACTTTGGAAATTTTCCATTTTATGAAAAGACATTTCTGCAGAGTAAAGATTTTCTTCACAGGTTTTTCTCTGAAGAGGCTGATACTTCTTTCCCCCCATGCGGAGAAAGCCCAAGTGTTTCAGTTCCCATACCTTAGGCAGTCTCAAACTGTTTAAAATATGACATGTGCAGAACAATAATTTTTTTTTTCCTTCACTGGGTTCAACTTTGAAAATTTTAACATCTATATAAAAAACTACAAACAAAAGGTGAAGTACAATTAGCATAGGTACTCCTTATGCCCGAAATTCCTCTGAACTTCTGCAGCAGCAGCACTAAGTCTTTAAAAAAATGAGCAAATACAAGACCACTATCGGGAACAAGCCTTTTTCACTAGAAATATGGGACAACTACCCCCATCCTGACAGGTGACTAATTGAGATTCCACACTCTGTTTCACGTAATCGTAATGAAAATGATACCAACACCTTAAGTTTATCATTCCAGGTTTGCTCTTAGGAAGATGTGCTGTTCTTTGTGTGCTCCAACACTGCAGTGGAGCACATATTCTCTGCCTCTGCTTCAGCCCTCCTCCTTATCAGGAATAATTCCCCCTCTGATCACTCTCCCTGTGTAACATGGAGAATCACAGCTAACCCAAAACAAGGCGGAGCAGGTATGAACATACACTCACACCAGAAATGTAATTCAGTTAAAACCTGACCAATCCAATGACAACCATGTAAAATTCACTTCTCTTACTTAATTCAGTGCATTTTAGAGAATGCTTAGCATTAATGCTTTTAAAAATCCAAATTGGTAATTTATTACCATTGTAAATCCTGAAGGATTTTCTATTTTGGAATTTGAAAAGCAGACTCAACTTGCAATAGCATTTTTAACACAACAAGAGCCATTTTATTCATATAAGTTCAACACAGTACTGATGATTCCATCATAACACTTAACCACAGGAACAGCTCAAAAACTGAGTGATATTTACATGCATCTACCAATATTGTAACTGGTGGTCTATACAGAGTGCTCATTTCCAAGGTGTTTGTTAGCAAAGGACAGAACAGCATAACACGCTGTTAATGCCTGAGGAGATGTTTCAAAAGGTATTTCGTGTTTCTCATGTACATCAATTGGCATTTTTGGGGAACTTCTTTATATGAGCTTCTCATAAGATCTCATCTTAAAAGACTCTCATACAAGTTTTTGTACTCCAGACTGTAGTGCTTTGTAAGTAACACAGACCATAATCACCAAGTAGCCATTGTCGTTGCTCAACCCAAGCAGCATGCAAGGAGTCAAAGAGTCCACAGTAAAAATTCATTCCATTAAGCTCTTTTTAATGACCTGCAATCATTATCAAAAGAACACAAAGAACATATAAAAATGCAAACTTTATGCTGAGTGTCCTTTTAAAAGCTAGCAGCACAAAATACTTTTTGAACAGACCAGATATCTGTTGCCTCCCGAACAGTAGCACATCATTTTGTTGTCCATGTTTTTTGATGCCCAGGTTTTGCAAATGCTGATACATCAAGAGTTTTACCACTGTTGCACTGTTCATATAAAGTCTGAAAGTTAACAAACACACAGGGTATTCAGGTGAACACAGTTGTACTGTACATGGAATCAAGCTACATAACAAACATTACCTTTTGAAATAAAACATCACATACCGAAATATTCCATACTAATATTGCTGTCAAATCAAAAACTAAAAACACACTTAAGACAGCTTAGTTGTACCAGCTGTAATGCAGTGCAGTGCCCAGGGGAAAATACATATGCTGACTTAGCAGTGTGGGCAGTTATAGAGCTTCACAAGTCATGAGACAACAAATGAGCTGCAGAGATCTAAAAAAAATCAAGTTTACTCTATTAAATGTCTCCACTATGGAAACCCCAGCATGGAAGGAGAGAGTTATTTGTGTACTGGGGGCATGCAAACTTTACACAAGATACTCAGATGCCCACAAACAGCCACATCACCATTTTGTTAGAAGAGTAACTACTTGCTCACCCTCATTTCAAACAGATCAACTAGAAGTGTAAGCAACTAGAAGTGTAAGCATGAACTACTTTAGATTTAATAAACATTGAATTTGCTTTCCTCTCCAAGAAAGCAACTTTGCAGTCTCTAGATCTTATGTATACTTTCCCACCATCACTTCTGAGACACAGGTAGAAAGAACAGAGTTGAAAATTCATCAAGCTTCTCTTTCAGGCAATAAAGAGAGAGGCTGCAATACTTCAACACACAGGAACTAATTTACACATAGCACTGCATTTACAGCTCAGCAGCTTGCAGGAAGCAGGAACAGTTGCAGTCCAAAAGTGTGCACACTTAACAGATCAATTTAGATAATTTTTCCATAGTGAGGGTTCTTAAATTAGGAGACCCCTGCATGGGGGCAGTTTAAAAGGAAAGCAGACCTACTGTGAGGTGGAAAGGAAAGAAAAAACAAAAGGTAAAGATTACTGGCATGATTTTCAGCCTTTCCAATTCAGAAGAATGTAGAGAGATTCTACATCCTTGCAAATAAAAGCACTAAGATAAGCAATGTTTTCCCAGCTATGGCTAAAGATTTCATATATGTATTGTTTCAGCTTTCACGAACATTCTAACCTTTGTCTGCATGAGCAGGTACTACTACACAAAATAGAAAAGACAATTTACTTACCCTCGCAGCTCTAGAAATAGAATTGGGAGAATTCAAGCCAACAAGCTGGCCAAGGATACGTTTCATTTCCTCTGTTGTTCCTTTTGCATTTGGGACACCTGCAGTTAATTTATAATTATGCTGAAAAATGTATACATGATCAGTGTAAAAATTGCCAGAACAGTTTGTAAGAGGTTTAAGAATTAAAATATGGAAGTCTTTTCTGAAGCAGATGTAGGCACCAAACAAAATTGAGTCACGCCAACAAGCTCATAGTACCTCTAAGAGTAAAGTGTTTTTTAATGCATAGTTACAAACACTACTTAATAAAAATGTATTTTAAAATAAACATACCTGTTTGACAATGGCTTTGAATTTGAACATAGGGATGTACCAGCAATTCCGAAACAGAAATTCTCTCTTTAGGATTCCTTATTAAACAGCGCTGCAAATGAAAAAAGAGGAAATGTTTTGCCTATAAATTATGAATTGTCCTAGGAATTAACAGTATTTACTTAGGTTGTTGAACCAAAGCACTTAAGTCAGACTGCTTTCAGTGCTTATGTATCTGGTGTTGAGCTGAAAAGAGACTTGAACATGGAAACTACATGAAGTAGCTCTAGCTTCATTCTTTTTTTAGAAAAAAGGCCTACTTTACTACACTACTTCACTGTTACTACAAGTAGCAGTGAGCATCTCTTTGTGGAAAAAGTGTCTCAAGCACAACTCATTCCGTTTTGGAAAATATGCTTTAAATAAAGAAATAAACATTATTTAAAACAAAAGGAAGTTACCTTCAGCACATCTTGAAGATCCTTCTCAGCAATATCTGGGAACCCTATTTCATAGCTTGGATCAACAATAGCATGCATTTTATTGATGTGACTTGTGATATGCTGAAACGGAGTCCTTCCGTATGTCATACAGTACAAAATGCAGCCCAGTGACCACACATCGCTTTTGGGACTTATCTAATATTAAAAAAACCAAAAAGATTACTCTCTACTTAAGGAACTGGCCCTTCAGTCAATTTATCGTGCATTTGTACAGTTTTCATTGTATAAGAGATCTTTGTTACTATCACACAGAATCACCAAGGCAGCATGCCATTCTCTACTAAGTCAGTAATGTGGCTTCCTTCACTGATATTTCATAAGAAAACTATTCTTCTAAACTATTTTTGAAAATCAACTTACTTGAAGAACAAACTTTATTTTTAAGTTAGTCCTTAACAAGTCAAACAGCAAGATTCTAATTTCAGGTTTAAAAATAAACACAACTAAAAGCACACTAAATTATTTAAATCCAGGAAATGGTGAGAGATCACCACTAAGTCTCCTAAGTGGAAAGCCACAATTCAGTTCCCCTGGGTTTAAAGTATTCAGATCCATATATCAACCATGACACTCAGGCTGTTTCTTGCAGGACAACTTTGCACTTGTCCTGTTGAAGATGAAGTACTTTTAGAGAAGCACAGAGTGGGGGAGAGGAGGGAAGTGGAGAAAGATGCATACAGAAAACCTGACTCCTAGCACAATGGTTAGATTTTTGTTTAGATGAGCTGAACAAATCTGCACTTTGCATGCAGTATTAATTTAAAAGTACAAAAGGTAAAAAATTGTCCTTAAAGAAATCTGCTTGAATATTTTATTCCCTGTTTAGGAAGACAAGATTGTATTTCATTGCATAATAATACTTCCATTCAACTGTTAAAAAGTTAATCTTCAAATCCATGCAAGTACATATGGATTTTAAATACTTTTTCACCAAACCATGTAACCCTCACTTGAAGTTTGACTGCCAATGTGAAAAATGCTTTACCCGTCAGTACTTTTCTCATCATTCACGTTCCATTGCCCTGGTGATGTTATAAAATTTTCTACAATACGCAACACTCTGTAGCAGAGAAAAATTAGTGGGATACATTGAACTCATACATGTGTCCCTAAAATGCCCAAGCCTGCACCTGTTTTACTTTCCATTTTCCTCAGTAATTGAACATTTACATTTTTCTAAACACCATCTGCCAAATGCTTTTAGGTAGTTAGGGAGATTAGGCTTAATCTTCCAACTCTGCACACCATCATCAAGGCACAATGTCTCTTACATTCAAGATTCAGTGGAAGATTTTGAAAAAACTTATCTGAAGATACATGATTGAATTACTTCCTTCTTAACATGAAGGTAATAGGAGAAAAAAAAAATCCTACTACCTTAGAACGAGGCTTGCCATTTTCTCCATAGGAAGACCTATCTTCTATTGCTTCAGGTGGCATATAATTCATTGTGCCAGCCTAGCCATAAAAATGAAAATATTTTAAGTAAAGCATGCATTAAATTTAATTAACTTAATAAAAACTTAGATTTCTGTCCCAAAACACTGAAAAGCATCTTAAAAGTTTGTTTCCATTAAGGCTGAATGCCATTATTATTCTGTTCATTAAAAACATGTAAAAACCAATATACATGAATATTCATGTACACATATAAAACCATTCAGCATAATATTTCAATAGTAATTAAGGTTATTACAATCAAAATTATCAGCAGGTACTATTGCGCTTCACAGAAAAATGGACATGAATTTTCCAGAAGTATTTTACCTGAGAATCTTTAATGATACTTGTCACATCTGGCTGCATTTGGTTTGCAATGCCAAAGTCAATTAGTTTTAACATTCCATCAACTATCAGAAAGTTTGCTGGTTTCAGATCACTGTGAATGATGCCTGTAAAAAAGAGTTTAAAGTAAATCCAAATTACTACCATAAGGTTTAGCATTACTCAATTCCCATAACCCTTGCACAGAGAGAAGGTGCAGATTGGCTTTATCTGAGTCTCTGCAGATTGCATGAAAGTGCTTCCATTTCTTCCTAAACATTTAAGACTTGCATGAGTTTGCAGTTAGAATTACTACTTATTCAAACCTGCAGGTACCCCAGAACAGCTCCAAGCAATTTGAGTTGCACAGTTTGTCTCAGTTTGGGACAGACACACCAGCTCCTTGTGCACATGGCCACACTGGACTAGTGCTCTGGAGTAGTTCAGTGGCTTGTCCATGCCTGTGCTTCCCTCTTTAATTAGCTAAGCAGGTAGTTATAATAAAAGAATTATATTGTTTAGTCTGATTAAAGGTACCATTCACTGAGGAATATACACAACTGACTTCTCACAAACTAAATTTGTTAAATTTGCACAATTTAACATGAATTTTGGTTACTATCTACATAGTCAACCATAATCATTTTACAAAAATTGCTGACTTTTTTCAAAACATCAGACATATGTACGCAGCCTGAATTTCAGCAGGTTTTGCTGTTTGCTATATTATTGAATGCTCTAATCCTGAAAATAGGTGATGCTTTCTGCTATATGTACTAGTCTTCATTATTATACAGGAAAATATCCAAGTCTGCCCTCTCCTTTATAGTATCCAAACAGTATATAGATGCATACACAATTATATAGGTAAAGAGGAGAGGAAGGCCTGAAGAACTCTAGGAGAAAGCTGAAACACTTTGTCAAAGTGAAGATAGAGCTGTCATTAATGACAAAACTATGTCTGGAAAGACTGAGTGGCTAAAATTTGAGTCTAAGAGAGAACAAGTGGAATTGGGAGCATACAATGTAGTCTAAAACAGAAAATATTCTCTAGCTGTGGCAAGAAAGCAGATAGCATTACAGAAACAGTGACATTTGTGAAATCCTTCAGTTGGCTAAGTCTGGTTCAGTCTGTTTCAGGACCAAGACTTACTTTGTTTTTTTGCTTCACTGCTTTTTTTTGAAATACAGTAAATACCCATCTTTGAAGATCACTAAGATTACACCAATACTAAATACTACCTCCAAAATTAAACCAGACCCATATTATCTGCCGTATATCCTATACAAATACCTAGAATTATTTAAGAATACCATATTCATGGATTGTGTGAACAGCTTCCAGCATATTCTTCCAATAGCTCTTTCGTTCCAATGGATCCATCCTTTTTTTCTTTTTAAGCCAGCTATTGAGATCAATATTTCCACACTCCATTACCATGTAGATATGTTGATCAGTAATTTCACTAAAAATAAAATATGTATGTTAGAAGTGAAGGAAATATCTTTTTATAGAGAAATACTGATTAAATAAAATTATTTACTCACTAGCCATAAAGGCGGATGATCTTATCACTATGTTGCTGCAGTTTGCTCAAATGAGCAATTTCATTCTTATAGCTCTCAACAGTCTGTTGATCAGCATCCTCTAGATTCACATATTTGACAGCATACAGTTGCTTCTTGTCATTCAGTACTTGAAACACCTACAAAACAGTATCAGTTAATAACTTCATTCATCCCTAATTCCAATGTACTATGGTCCTCCATCTCAACTCAGCCAGAATACCAAAAGAAGCCTACGTTTTCAAAAGAAAGAAACAATACAAAGAAATTCATAAAAGTCAGCATGATAAAAAAAATCAAGAAAGACACCAGTTACAACAGAAACAACCTTCTATCAGAAGCTATCTTGGTGCCACAATATATTTCACCAGGTGTAGTACATCATGAGTCTGCAGTTTGCCTAAGATAAGGATTATGAAATAACACTCCCAGAGATACAGGTTTGATCTGCCCTCACACAATGACTTTGTCACATCAAAATCATGTGGAGGCTAGATCACATGGCACATTAGAAGAGGTTGAGAGCACAAAATCTCACTCAGTCTTAAGATGAGAAGGCTGCAGGAAATTCTATTGCTGTCTTCTATTGCTCCCTATTTAAAGGGAAGGTATGACAGACTCCTCTTGAACCATTGTCAGTCAACCCAGGACAACCATCGAAGTATGAGATGCAACAGACACAGCTAACAACAAGGAAAATTACAATTGGATATTTTGGTTTTTTCACTGTCATATAGTCCAACAGGAAAATTGCTTGTCCAGATATGCTATGAAATCTCCATCCTTGGCAATATTTAAACACAAAACCCCATGCATACCCTGCTCTATTTTAGCCTTGTTTTAAGCAGACTATGAGAAAGAGACACACAAGTTCCTGCCATCGTACCTCATTCTACAACCACACACTGGTAACACAGAGAGCTCCTCTTTCTGGAGTTCCCTGCTGACTGGAACCTGGCTAATATTAGTCCAATTGACAAGAAGGATGGGAGGGAAGACCCAGGAAACCACAAACCTGTTAGCCTAACCTCAGTTGCTGGCAAAATTACAGAGAATATCCTACTGGGTACTACTGAAATGCAACTACTGATCAGACAGTCAACATGGATTCACAAAGGGAAAGACCTCTAAGTAATTAGTTAAATTAGCTATCCTTAAAACACATCCTCCTGGAAGCTACGCTGAAACACATGGAGAACAGGGAGATGATTTGAAAGAGCCAGCACTGCTTCACCACCTGCAAGTTTGTCTGACCAACCCAGTGACCTTCTGTGAGGGAAGGACTACACCAGTGAACAAGAAAAGAGGTAGAGACGTCATCTGTCTCAACTTCTGTAAGGCCTTTGACATAATCCCCCACAACATCCAGCTAAACTACTTATGCTCTTAAGAAAGGAACTATAACAAACTCAAGAGATTTTGCCAATATTGTTTCCCAAGCTCCCATGACCCCAAATTTCCATGTAAACAGCAGCTCACTCACCACTTCAGACATAGCTACAACTCTACTTCTCACACAAGTTACAGAGTAGTTAAGAGATGGTCTGTCTCCTTCAGGCTCTCAATCAACTTTACAAGTCACCCATTTCCCAACACTGTAATCACACTGCTCTAAACAACAGTTTCTCCCATTAGGATGTCCACAATGCAGCACATCTCTTACAAGATAAGAGCTGATTCTACCAGGAATTTTAATGCTTACTCTACCATAGAAATTATCTTCAAGAAGAAAAAGTCTAAGCATAGCACAAAACCAGCAAAGTTTTAGATTCCCTGGGTCAAACACTGCGCACATGTTAACACTAGGCACTCATTAGGTGATTTCAATGTGTATTTACAATAGATTGTACTACTGTGTAAATGAGTGACTGCCTAAAAGGATAAAGGAGCACCTTACCTTACTTGAGCCTCCACTACCTATTTGCTTTAACACTGTATAAACTCTTCCATTGATGACAAGGCATTCATGTGAAGGTACAGAAGCTGGAACCTGTGTACACATAGAAAAGGTTAAGAAATAAATATTGGTACATGCAACAGAACTTAAGAGAGCTCTACTTTTCATTAAGTTAAAATGCTTTAAGTTGTCTTGTTCTTTCTGATAAAGCTGTTTAGAAGCAGTAAAGAAACTCCAAATGAAAGCTAGTTCCCCATACACTGATCATCATTTGGCATGTGACATCACTGCACTCTTGTAAAAGTGCCAGTGCTCCTCACACTGGAAATCAAGGAAAGGATCTTCTTTAATAAGGCTTCCCAGATCATTAGAGACACCTCCCTTTTTACTTATAACGTCAGAAACTACATTATCCAAGAGACTTTCAGTCTCAGCATGAAACTTAAGAGCTGTACTGAAATCATCTACCAATCTATTTGACACTAATTACTAGCCAAAAGACTACAGTAGTGTGAAGTTGAAACAGCCTGCATTGCCCATATCTGCTACACCAAGCCATAGAAAGCCTCAAGTTTGATTTATTAATTTGTCAATACTTATCCTCTGGTAGGAAGCTTAAACCTATCCCCCAGTTTTATCTACAATTGGGATGGTTCCTACCTGAATATGCAACACATCTAAGGTAACCCATTTTTACATTATGTCAGGCCACAACAAATGTATCAAAATTTGTGAAATCTAAAAAAAAAAAAAAAAAAAAAGGAGGAGAAATGTAATCTTTCACCTCCCTCAAACTCATGGCTTTCAACACACACTGCTTCTCTTTCATGGTACTGTACTGGGTAACACAGTGGTGTAAAAGCACTGCAGAACAAAATAGAGGCTCTTGGTCTTTTCACTGTCATTAAGTAGGACCTGAAAAGGCTTAGATTGCAGACATAAAGGCCCCAGCATTTAGACAAAACTGGAATGATTTTTCAACATCTGACTTAAGTCATCTAAATTCAGATATACACAAGAAAAAAATTACTTTAGGAATACTAGACTACTTTCCATTACTCCTCCAGGAAGATGAACAGTAACATCAGATGAAAAAAAATATATACACATTTATTTTACCTAAACTAGTTCCCAATGAAAATGTGTTAAAAATTGACAGAAAATTGTTACCTGCAAGCCAACTTGATTTTGAAATGGAGTTGCTGGAGTATGTGGTAAATAATAAGGGAACTGGCTGTAGGGAGTAGAAATTTGACATCCTGGTACAAACTTCTCCTTTACGACTGGTGTGCTGAAACTAACAAAAAAATGAACAATACCTGCAATAGTTGTATTTTGTTAAGATTATTTTAACAACAAAGTTGAAATCTTCAATGTTTCTTGAAAGTTAAACCCTATAGACCAGCAAGAGCTCAAGCCTCAACTTCATTCAATAATTATCATTAAGACCACTTTAACTTCTTCATTTAGAAGTCCTTTCAGAAATACACTGAAATAACATACTCAGGAAATACTTCTAAAAACACAAACTCACTATCTTCAGACAATATCTGGCACTTCCCAGCAACTGAAAAGTGAAAGAACTATAAAGCTAGAAGAGCTGACTATAAGAGTTTGAGCCAGTTACTCTTCTCCAGCTTATTGTTATTTATTCAAAAACTTTTTAGATTACCTATTTTTTAAAGTAAGCATATTAAGACAGACAGCTTCAAAAACTCTATTGCCTTGAGAGCTTTAGATGTATGAGCAGAAAGATAATGGATTTAAGAAAACTAAAGATTACAAAAAATCCTATGTTTTTTTTCATCTGTTCTCTTGATGTGTCTACCATTTCTTTCATTATATTTCTGAACATACTTTGTTTTTCCCCCACTGTATTCACAGAAACTAAGGCCAAAATCAGAATTGGAAAAAGTGTGTATAACTAGGATTTATTTGGTAGAGTAAAACCACAGAAGTAAAAAAAAAAAAAAAAAAAGGACAACACCAGTCCAAAGCATGGCTTTCTTTGAATACAGAAACACTCAGCAATTCTGCATATTTAGCATGTACAAACTAAGTAAAGCGAATTCATTCAAGGACTATTATCACATTCCTTCATGAAATTATGTGGTTCATGCCCTACCTATAGTCTGAGTTCTACAACTATAGAGACAGAGATCCTACCAACAGGAACAGTGCTTACTCAGCATACAACCTTGACCTATATGATTCATCTTAGAGACTTATGAAAACAATAAGTAATCATATAATTAGAAAGATTTGCCAACACAGGCATAGGGGTTTATGCCTTATTTAAGGTAACATGGATAAACAAATGCTATAATTTCTTAACATAAGTACTTAATTCTGCAAGCTTCTGGATTTCTCAAAGTGCTTTTAAAAAAACCTCAGACACTTGCATGATGGGAAATAAACTGATATATAGTTATCAATCTAAAAAGCCTGTCAGCCACATAAAGTTATCCAAAAGAAAGTGTCATGTAGCAAGGATTGGTGAAAAAGGTAAGAGCTCTACTAGGGACTTATTGATTTGATGGTAAATATTCAAATGCTGAAAAGCTGCCCAAAAAGGCAAAGGTCCCTAAATGCAATCTGAATCTCAAAGTCAGGCACTTCACAGAAGCACTTGGAATGTTTGCTATCGAATAGAAAAATTTAACAAACCCTGTAAAAATCTGCTTAAACCTTTTCAGAGATCAACTACCATCTTACAGTAGGCTTACCAGGCCATATAATCATTAGATGTGGTTCTTGGTGTTCCATAAACGTGTGATGGGTCGCTTTTCTTACAAACAGCATCTGGTGGTGATAATCGTCTTGAAACAGGATGACCAGACTGTTCAATGTTCATTTGTTTTCCCTACAAAGGAAAAAGCAAGATATAATATCACACAAGAAGCCAAAATTAAGAACACAGAAATAATTTCTTCAACATGAGACGGCTGCTGCTAGCACACGTGCAATATGTTGTTTTTGTTACTTTACCTCGCCATAGCAGCTTTTCTGTGACACTTCTTGAGTTGGCATTTTTTTTCTGGCATTAACACAGTTTAGTTTAATCTGCTCCAACTGCTTTCTATAGCTTTCACCAAAACTAGATTGTTGCTGTTGACTTTCCAGACTCCTGGGCTCTGGTGTCTTCAGCTCCAGATGCTGAACTTTATTTTCTGTGAAAAAAAAAAAAAACCAAACCAAACAAACAACCAAAAACCAGAATATTAAAACGATTCAATATTCAACACTTGAAGTTTCTAGAATAATTTTACTTAATTTTCTAGCTCAGACTAAAACACAGATGATTTACTGGAATTAGGCCTTAAAATACTTTAATGAAGTCCTCAGGCTCCATATTCAACTCAATGTAGTAAAATGGCAACTTTCTTCAATGTCTTAGGATAACACTGTAACAGTAACAGAGATGCAACTGTTTCCTACACCAACACAGCAATAAGAGTACACAAACTGTACTACAACATCCCGGGATACTGAGCAGGTTGATAAAGCACTGAAGATAAGCTTACTACCATACTCCAAATTAGAAATCTGTTGCCTGCAACAACAGGCAACCTATAATCCAAGTGCAATGACTGAAGCCAGAGGCCTGAAGGGACTTTGCACTATTTCCTAGTTCCTTTTGCACAGGTAGTACTAGAGTGAAATGGTGGGATGTGACAGTGCAGGCTGCAAACAGCACAGCTTAAGAGTGTTCCTTAATGAGCCTGAAAAGTTTTATTTTCAAATTACTAAAAAGCATCCCATGCTGAGCAGCTTAGTGAAAGTCAGCTGCTGAAGGACTGAACTACCTCAACCAACATCTCACCTGGAAACATGAATGAAGTACAAACAGGGCAAGTATGACCTGAAACCCAAACTGTTCAGTGAACTTTTCCCACTGACTTGCATTGGGAACAGTTCACTGAGGGGTTGAGGGGACAATGAAGTTCAAAAGAAAAAAAAAAAAATCACAATTTTTCAACTGAAATGTTTCTTTCCTACAATACATATGTATTTATACAATCCTAAATCCAACTCTTGCAATATTAGACATTTTCACCTAATTTTTTCAGCAGTATAAGAAACCTGCTGAAAAACTTAGGGAACCGGCCTTCTGATGAAACACTGAAGTAATTAGCAACTAACCATAGGAGGTTAGTACATGTATTCCATATTCCATGAAGTTGGTAAATAATTAGTAGCAATCTTCTAGATTTTACTAGCCCTGAAAGCTAGCTTGCTATAAATCAATGCTGGTTAGAACATTTTCTGGAAAGACAACATCATGTAATCTAATACCATCCCTATTTCTAGCTGACTTCACACCAGTCAAAATCCATGCAATATCTAGTGAAGTATTTCTGAAATACACCAAAACTGTTTTTAAAAGAACTTTAAGAATCATTCTCCAAAAGTATGTTAATAATGCAGTAACTTCCACTTTTTGAAAAACATTTAGCAATGTATTTTTTAAAAATACAGAAGAGCACATTTTCCATGCTTATTCTATTTCAGACTACTCAGACATGACATTAATAGTTACCCGCTCTTTTCGTCACAAGATTTGCATCCACTTTGGTTTTGAGAGTTACAGTTGAATTGGTAGCTGTTTCTGAGCTGCCCTCATCCACCGTCTGCAACTGTAAAGCTGTTTTTTCTTGTAAGGACTAAAGAACATAAAAAGCATATTAAAAAAGAATCAAAGGAAAATTAAGGAGTAGTATACAAGAGATATTTCCTTAAGGTGATTAAGTGGCAGGTGCACTGCAAAGCAAACATGCCTCAGGGAACTGTGCAGGTTACACAGACAAGTATTACTGATGCTATTTTTAAATACATCAACATTCTGAATTTTCATAATCCAGTTGCTACAATAAAGGCCTAAATGCTTACTATTCTCAAATTTTCTTTTAGGGGATGGGGACATGGGACATGAAAATGTAAGACACAGTAATGAAAGACAATTGTTTTTTGATGAAAAAAATCTCTATCAGAAGCTGGGATTTATGGCTTGATAGGGCACTAACTTAGTTGAACAGACTTCATTAAATAAGGTACTTCCCATGGTAAAATTCATGACCACAGCTGAAAGAGGTTCTGTAGTCAAGTTGAAAACTGTTTATCCCCTCTTGATAAATCATATTCCAAATGCTACTCCCATTCCTCCCATCAGATGTACTGCTCAGAGAAACCTCTTTTTTAATGCCCTATTATGCATAACAATTTTCAAGTTTAAAAGCCACAGTGAATGTTTCTATCCACAAATGATTACTTAAAGGGAAATCTTACATTATTTCTTTCTCAAATTGAAAAACGTGTTATTATCTTTCTTACTAATATCATAGGATAGCTAGAATTCCTTTACATATTTAAAAAACACTTCAGTTACCTGCAAATCTCCCAGGCTGTATGAATCACGCCCACAAGGTTTCGGTTCTGATGGTGGAAAAGGTGCAACAAAGGCTGTTTGTTTGGAGCTGGACGTTTGCCTGTTGAAGTAATATTCTTAATTACATCACATATCAACACAGTGTGGCAATGGTCTTTTTTGGAAATGATATGTAAAAAGTAATTGTGTGAAGACTTTGGCTACAAGTTTCAAATATACAGAAAAGCAGGTCCACTCGAACAGCAAAGTGAGAAACAACACAAATAAGTCCCACAAAATATGGATTTAAAAATAATCATGAGTTACAAAACTGTCTTATCTCTTTATTTTAAAAGCTGGACTACGTAAAGGTATTTTGAACAAAATTTATTTCCATTTTAATTTCTATTTCTTTTGAGCTTACTGATTAGCCAGAACATGCTTTCTCTTCATCTTTACATGCTTTCATACAAAAAATTTCCCTAAGATTGGAAGTAGGTTACTGCAGTACCTATTGTAACTATAATGACTATTTGTCTCTTATCCTTCAGGTCAAATTTGACATTGACATCTGACACTTCCACTGTGCAATAAAAGTACCATTGAAAAGGAGTGTTAAAATCCGTTGTGCTGTAGGTAAACCCAATAACCATACCTCTTCATAACACTAGCCATGAGTGGGACATCTGAATCCTCCATGTCATCACCATCATCAGATACTAGGGTAACAGGAATCCTCCCAAATGGGCAAATCTTAGAACAAAATTCAAAGTTATCAGGTGTGTAAAGCAGAATAAAGACTTTAAGATTCTAAAGAAAATGTTACATGTTTTACCTGGTTAGATTTGTTTAGTGGTCTCAATGGATTGTGGTAATTAACTAGGGCACCCAGTTCCTGTGACTTCTCTTCCCTAAAAGAAAAAACAAATTCAAACAAAAAACCCCACAAAACAAAACACATAACACTGTAATGTATGCATTTAGTTTTGGTTTAAATGATGTTGCAAGACATCAAATAAGAAATTAAGACATTACCTAAATAAAGATCTGGTAATAGTAGAAGAATTTTCACTAGAATCATTCTTTTTTAAGCTTCTGTAATTTCCACCTGTATTCTGAAGTCCAGACTCCTGTGCACTTGATACTGTAGGGGAAATTGTTAGAATCAGACAAATTCAACTAAATTATTCTAAGCAATCAATTGGGTTAAATTAAACCAACTGATTTCACTGATAGCAAATTTGAGTGTGGTCATATAAGCTGTGTGAGGTCAGGGAGTATCAAGGTAGGAATATCAAGGAATATTTAGCAGTAGTTTTATTAAGTTGTACATTAATCTTAAAATGATATGTCAAGTCAACTTAATAAACTTTATGAAAGCATATATTTCAGATATGCTTTATGGTAAACACAACCAGAACTCAAGTTATTTGAAATGCCATTCTAGAAACTCAAACCCACAAATAAACAGTTCAGAACACTGTCTTCCACATTATTTTTCCCTACAGGTGAAAGGACGGTCATTTCTCAGAGAAGAAATCACAAGAACTCAGAATACACTAACGAAAATGTATCAACACCTTAATGAACACACATTCACATTGTAACAGTTTAATTCTTCATTTAGGGAACAATGTGGAGTACAACTATTTTAAGCACCTTCAGATAAACAATAATCACTTGAACTCAGCTATTTTCGTGAAAAACCCTTTATTAGAAATGTAAATTAATATCTGGTTATTTTGATTAAGATCACTTCAATACTGTATTTTTTTTTTTTAAAAGACACCAAAAAGCATATTTGAAAAAAAAAAAAAATCTAAGGCAACAGGAAGTGTTCAAAGCCAAGTTGAAAGCTTTGAGCAACCTGGTCTAGGTGTTCTGGAACCTGGAAGGTGTTCTTGCCCCATAGCAGGGGGTAGGAACTAGATGACTTTCAATGCTCCTTCCAACCCAACCATTCATACATAATATGATTTTCTACATCACATAGGCCCTGTGCTCCATCAGTATAGGAAATTATCTGCTGGACCAACAAAATCCATGGCTACCCACAGCCTTCAAATCACAATTTAAGGACTTTTATGTAGCACTTAACATTTTTAAATTTCTATCAGCTTATTGAAATGGATTTTACTTTTCTTTTGAACTCTCCCATATCCCTCTTCTACTTTCATCTACTTCTGGTAGATGAATAGTGCAGTACTGGTTATTTCTAATACTTAATGTTTTATGAACTACTTATGCCAATAGACCAAACTACTCATTTAAATAAAACAAGTGCCTCAATGTACAGTGTAGTTTTATTACCAACCCAGGACCATCACCATCTCACAAATGCAACTCACAATTTTTTCCCCAAAGATTTTTTTTTTAAACCACCAGCTGGCCACTGGACTCTCACACCCAGCTGGTGATCTAAAATACTTTCATTCCTTCACAGTCTAAGACAGCCTATCTGCTTCTTATGATACTCCTGACCACAGCTGGATCCCATGACCTAAGGCTCTCTTCCACCCAAAACAATTCTAAAATGGTTCTGCAACCTACATTTCTGACATAGTCAACTATCTTTTCCCAACTAAACATGTTTGATTGCACCTGGTATGTCAAATACTTCAGATTGCAGCGCATGAATGAAAGAAAAAAAGGAATCAAACCAAAGGTTTCTAGACTTGATGCATGTTTTATATTTGCTTTACAACACTAACTGCATATAACTGTCAAAAGCATTCTGTACAATCTTCTGAAGCTGTGAACGAATGCATTTACATATACAGTATTCATATTTGCCAAAAAACTTTCAAAAGCACCTCTTCAAATGGTAATACAAAACAGAAAATACATAAATGCCAATATACTAAAATAGCCTTTGTTGCTCCAGAGGACCAAACAAATTCACTTAAAGCCAAATTCAGTGATTTACCCCTTGTATGTTTCAGAGTTTGAGATATCTGGTGTTATTTACCTTTTAAATTTAGTTATTTAAAGTTTATAGTTTGCATTTTTCAAATAACTAATTACAAACCCATATAAAAAATAAATAAGCTTACTCTTGCCCCAAAGTTCACAGCTTCCTAACTGGGAGGCAGGGTTTGCCATTCTTTCTCACAGATATTTCCTTAGCTCTGCAGCAGCGAGTCAATAATGTCAGCAAAAAATTATACAGTCCATGAAGGATATTGGTATCCTTCAAGATATTCTCCTGTGGCACAGTACATAAGCAGTGGCATTTATGATGTCTATATCCAATTAATGATAAACAAAATAAGACAGAAAATAGAGTTTATTAGAAATGAATGCCACAGTTGAATAGTATTAAAAGGGTTCACTCCTGCTAGTGTTTTTCAGTCAAAGGTTGATTCAATAGGTGCCAAGCAAATCTCAAATGCCACTCCTGAAGATATATCCCTAAGGAAATTAAATCAGACCTATTTTTACATTAATTCTGTCCTTACACAATGCAAAAATATAGAAGTGTTAGACATCACTCTTGAAAGAGTTAGCTATACACACTTCAGTGCTAAAGTCAAACCATATTTTTTGCTCAATTCCACTTCAAATAATTGATCTCTTGAAAACTTCAAGAAATAACTGTTTCCTTTTTGAAGATACATACCCAGCAATAAGGATTACTTAGGATTTATGATACAGCCAAGCATTTCAGTTTTGTACAACAAACATATGGGTTTTGTCCAAAATAAAGTTGAAACAGATCATTTTTCCTAGATTTGACTTCACTGAAATGACTGTCAAAGCTTTCCCAGTCTGTCACAAGATACACCTCCAAGTAACCTATATATGTGTAGCTTAGTCTGTATATTTCAGTCCTAATTCTTCTCTACCAACAATAGTTCTTACTTCACACTTAGAGCTGTGAGTCTCTAATACAAACTGTAAATCCCTGACAACAGCCAAAGGAACACTGCAGAACTACAGAATTGACCATAACACAGCTCCTGCAAACTACAGTCACTGCACTGAAGGTGAAAACAAGCACTGAAGGAATAAGATTTATAATATAGGCAAATATATCTGTCTATTGGGCAATAGAGATTCTGATTTGTATCTAGAAGGAACAAACACTAGAGTTTTCCTTCCAATCTAGAATCACAACATGCATAAACAATCAGTATTTTAAGAAGCTGCAGTTACCTGCAAAGTTCTCCTTCTCCTCATCTGAAAGTAACTGTTTTTTTTTCAAATATAAGTTTTGCAGAGCAGTTTCCAACAATTCCAGAGGAACAGCAGAGCACTCCACAGCTTTCTGAAGGATCTGCTTACACTTCTTCTCATTTTCTAAGTGTAAGAAGCACAGAGTTAGAAATCACAGAAGTAAAAAAACAATTACACTGGGGCAAGATCTTTTTAATGAGATGGTTACATTCATGCTGTCTTACATTCATTTTGCATAGCTCTATGAAGCCACTGTTCATTAGGGACACCTTCCCTTACATTGCCATTTTAAGGAAACTGCCTGGAAATACTTGCAAGTGAATCACACAAGTCAATTTTTCACATTAAATTGAACACCAAGTCACAAAATACACATTCTCAGTAATTTTTTTAGTGTTACAGGAACTGTAAGAAAATTGCACTCATTCTAAAATCCATTTTTTTCTGTAGTACCAGAAAGGAAATATGACTTTTATGGACTTCTATTTATATCTGACCAGGTAAAAATTTTTATTATGGATATATTATGAAACATCTTTAATGCACTTCATAGAAATCACATTTAAAACTAGCTGTTAAATTAAACACCAACTCTGAACAGCACTACAGTTAAGAAAAGAGGAGAGAAAAGCAAGAATATGTTTTCATTACTCAGACATTACTAAATGGCATAAGTAGAACTTTGAAAAGAGCTGGGGTGGGAAAGGGAATGTGTTAACAAAACATATCGAAGCAGTCAATTTACATATGTAATCATGGCATCTATTAGAAAAAGTCAAATAAGGAAAAATGTGTACTGTAACCACAATACTCTGGGCAAAATGATGCAATGTTTTGCTACAGCTGTCAATGCCCCTGAAACACCAAATGCCCTTCTTCCTCCTTTCCAAAGCAGCAAAACAAACCGCTTTGTTCTTACATTCATGCCACATACATATTACAATAGTCAAGCATATGCATAATAGCATATTTAAGAGCACCATGTCCCCCACACTCAAAGCACCACTTGTAAATGAAGTTAGACACCATTGTTGCCTGTAGTTCAGGCTAGTGGAAGTGCAGTTAAGCACCAGGAACTTATGCTTTAAGTAACCTATTTAAAGAATATTAAATGGATGATGTCAAATATTGAAGGAAAGAAGCACCAGAATTAGATGAGCTATAATTTCATTTAAATCAATTTTGTGCTAATTTGTTAGAATCTGGTTTTTAACCATATAGTCAAATTGTTTTTTCTCTTAAATTGTTAGCAAAGTGGATAGGCTCTAAGAATCCTTAACCAGCATTCTGAGATTCTACCTTTGGCTATATTTAGTAACCACACATTGCTTCAACAAGACCTGCTACTCGAAAGTAATTCCTCCTAGTATTGTGTGCCTCGTTGAGTAAGAAAGAGCATGACACCAAAACATGTATGTGAAAAACTGCTTCATCCCCTTAACAGATGAGGATCCAAGGCACAAAATAAAGGCAGAAGTATTTCTGAATTCCAATCAGTGCACTTCATTACATGCCAAAAGCCTGAATCATGCACCCTGGCATTAGAGTTGAAACAGTCAAGAGTAGAGTTTTATCTGTGGTCATGAGTTCTGACCAATTCACAGCAAACCGTCCTCAAGCACACCACCCAAAGTACCCAAGTAATGACATGACAACTCCTCATCTGAGGTATTTAAATGAAATTTTAGTCAGTACTTAAGTAAAAAAAGAGCCACAAAAAAACAGAATGGCACCTTTGTGTCACTCCATTTCCAGGTCACTAATATTCGATTATTAAGAAATCAACATAAATTTGCCAAGTCTAATTTCACAACTTGGGCTTTTATCTTGAGCAAAACTGTGAGCTAAGGAAGAGAAGGTGCAATTAAGTTTTTCTGCCTAATGCAAAAGAAAACACTGACAGATGTGCCAAGCACTGCTGAAATCACTGGGATGAAGAAGCAACAAAGCACTACCCTCCTTTCCCTCTGGCCTAAGTGGACACAACGAAAAAGGAGCAGCACTCTTAAGTAACAATTTAACTCACATGTTCCACTAATCCTCTTTGAAGCACCCAGCGGGGACACTGTAGCTCCATACACATTACTAAAGGACACCTAGATCAGCTCAAGGGTAACAGATACAAATCAGAGAGCACACTGCAGATAAAACAAAGCCAATCATAACTGGCTTATTTTCTTTGGGATCAGGACTTCATTCTAGATTGATTACTTACTGTCAAAGTAAGGTAAACCACTGCACGAACATATCCCATAACTACAGAATGAATTTAGTCACTGGTAACCTGTAGCAACATTTCTACACTTTATTAAATTACACAATAGGTTTTATTACTCTTATTTAACAATATCTTTGTTATTGCAGTATTAGTGCTTAATTATCTGTTTAAATAAACATCCAGTGCTCACTAAAAAATCATTATCTTCTTTTAACTACTGTTTAGAAGTTCAATACCCCAAGTTTATATTAGAACAAGACTGGTCAGATAACTGACTTATGCATAACACAGAAACTGTGTCATTTCAAGACACAAACATGCAGATTTTTGCCTTTTTTCCCCCCCATCCTCTACAGAAGTCATTCGTAAAATATAACACATACTTCTGGTGGGGGGAGTTGGTTCATAGCCTTTCCTGCTCTAATGCAAATCAACTTATCAATGAAGAAAAACTGGAAAATCTGAGATGACAAGTGAGTATCTACTTTGATTTTAGCAAAATGGCTCTGCCTCATGGGCCACTTTGAGCATCTAAACAATATCCTAAAATACAGTTTAAAAGTAGTACTGGAGCAAAAATGTAGAGACAAAACCACTATCAATGGAAAATAAACAGAGGTAAAGAAAGATGAGTAAACAGTAAAATGTATTCAGAATCTAGTGTAACATAGACATTAATTTATTTAGTGTAGCTAGATTTGGGGAGAATTTCTCATACTAGGCAGTATGAGAAATATATACAACATACAATATTATACAACAACTTCCATGATACTGAAAAAAACAAGAAGGAAAACAAATCACAAAAAAATTAATACATTAATCAAGTCTTTTCCATTCAAATAAGAAAACAGCTTTCATAGAATGAGTTTGTCTTTCTGTACAGAGCAAACTGTCAAAGGAAGAAATAGCCAGGGAGACATATGTCACTGTTCAAATCACCCATGGAAACAAAAGAGACACCCAAAAATACAAGCCTATGGGCAGCCAACACAGCCTTGCTAGCAAGTACCTGGGCAACCAAATTGCATATTGACAGAGTATTTCGGTTTAACAAAAAACATACCCAATCTACAGATGCTTTTTGGAAGACAATTTCTTCCACAAGCAAGCAAAGTATTTGAGCCTCACTTTTCAGTGCAGGAACAGACTTACTCAAAAGCCTTCCAGTGCAAGATCTAAATTAGAAATGTAGAAATTACTAAAAATTTTCACCTGGTTTGAAAGCTATTTCTAAAACAGAAAAAAAAACAATGAACTGTGTGCATATTTTAATTTTAAAAGTGAGCACACATTCTCAGTAAATTTCCATTTAAAAAAATCCCAACTTTGTTCTGATTCAATACCTATCAGTCTCCTTACAAATTATGTAAAGGAGCAGAAGTTTAAAACAACAAAACTGAGAACAACACAGAACAGCAACACCAAACAAGTTTTGTTTTAGGGGTTCTTTTGGGGTTTTTTTCCCTTCATTTTTGGTTTTGGGTTGTTTATTTTTTTTTACAAACCTTGTGATAGCTCAAACTGTGCAAAAGCCACGTGCACAAAAGCAAATTTCTTGCAGTTTAGTCTGGCCAGATGAAATTGGTCCCGTGCCTCCTCTGGATCTTGAAGACTGTAAAGACAGCACATTCATAATTATACAAGGTGAAGAGCCTGAGAAGGATGAAGTTCCAAGTACTGGATGAAGCCTTTAACTAACTCTGAAAAAGCAACCCTTAGCCCTATAGGCTAAAGATTTTCCTCTTTCTTAGAGCAATCAGTGAACTAAAATAAGCAAAGAATTTTAAAGTCTAATTATTGAAAGATATGAAGCTGAACCTTCCCAAAACTCAAGGGATTCAATCCTTAAACTCTTTCACACTTGATAGTTCATTTACTTTTGGCAAATTTTAATCCTAGTGTTACATTCAACCATAGACTGCTGAGCAGGTTCATGCTTACACACAGCATGCCCACATTTAAATATTCAAGAGCAACTACAGCCTATGCAAACACCAGTCAAGATACAAAAGGCCTAAATCTACATTACTATGAAATACATTAATGTTTCAACTGACAAAAAAAAAGGGTGCTTAACACTTACCAGCAACATCTATAACCAATAGATAAAGAAATTCTTTCCTAAGTTCCCCCTTGGCTCAACAGGTACACAAAGGTGCCACTTAGAAGTGAGAAGAGCAAAAGATTTATGATCATGGTTCAACATAAAACTACAGAAAAATACAACATGGAAAGGTAAAGAACATTTTCAGTAGGATTCTGTGAAATTTTGAATTAAAGACATTTCTCATAGTTTAGGCATGTTACTAGAGTCACATAGGTTCACTGAACTCAGCTCTGACCATCCAAAGCAATAGGACAGGCACAGAATAACCCATCTGCAGGCAAAGTCAGAGAAATTAAGCTGTAATGTATTACACTCACTTTCAAAGAGCTTGCAGAGTTCCTGTAGAAAGCAGCAACAGCTGGGATAGCAATACACAGAACAAGACCTAACACTAGCAATAGGCACCAACTGTCACAGGCTTGGTGGCACTGTGCTACAGCCAGAAGCATTCCACGAGAGCAGGTCTGGCATTGTAAATGTACAACACAGAAAATCATAGAAGCATTTGCTGTCTTCAACTATTTCAGAGCACACTCAAGGGTTCTTCAGATCAGCTTGGTATAATAATAGGTCAAAAGGTATTGGCACAGCCAGACTGCAGCTAAAGCAGATACCAGGAAAAAAAAGTCGAGTGCCAAGGATGGAATAATCCAGTTTCTCACCTAAAGGTTGGGCAGAGATGTGATTGCAAGCAGGCTTAGGGAGTAAGACTTGGGGGTGATGGCTGATGAAAAAGTCAACATGAACCAGCTGTGTGTGCTTGGAGCCCAGAAAGCCAAAGGGAATTCTGGGCTGCGCCAAAAGGCGCATGGCCAGCAGGTCACAGGAGGTGATTCTGTCCCTCTGCTCTTGGGAAATCCCACCTGAGACACTGCATTCCCAACATAAAAAGGACAGGGACCTGTTGGCACAAGTCCAGACAAGGGCCACAAAGATGATTAGGCAGCTGGAGCACCCCTCCTATGAAGATGGGCTGGAAGAGTTGGGGCTGTTCCCCTGGAGAAGAGAAGGAGACCTCATAGCAAACTTCCAGTATCTGAAGGGGGCCTGCAGGAAAGCCAGAAAGGGACTTATTGTCAGGAACTCTAGTGGTAGAACTAAGAAAAATGGGTACAAAATGAAAGAAGAAACTTTGTTTTTAAACTTTTTTTAAACTTTGTTAGGCTAGGTGTTAGGTAGCCTAAATTTAGGTAGTCACAATAAAGAGGTAACCCTCTTTATTGTGAGGGTGGCGAGACACTGGAACAGGTTACCTGGGGAGGCTGTGGATGCCCCAACCCTGGAAGCATTCAAAGCCAGGCTGGAAAAAGCCTTGAGCAATCTGGTCTAGTGAAAGATGTCCCTGCCTACAGCAGGAGGGGTTGGCACTAGATGATATTTAAGGTCCATTGCAACCACTTAGCATTCTACAATCAGAACAAAATAGTGTTGATGACAGTAAATACTAAGATCTCAAGCCGCTGCCACTGCTTCTGAAGTTTGTGATGCTGATTTGCTCTTTCACCTTGTTTAGGTGGAATATTTGGGAGAACAGCAGACAATTCTACTGAAAAGCACATCTCTTCTCCCACCCAAGGTAGTACTATCAGAGCACCTATCAGCGTCACTTAAGTTGTAGCATCAATATTGCTTTACTCGCAATAGCTAAAAAATAAACCAGAAGCACTCAAAGTCATGAGATAAGAGGATTTTCTTTAACAGAAGCTAAAACCAAGTAAAGACAAAATATATAGTACTGGACAAACTGGACAAAACAGCCAGTAACAGAGAAGGTAGAGCATAGAACACCAGGGAAACTGAGAACAAAAAAATTATGAATAATAAGTTATGAGCAGTAAGTAAACAGGCCAAACACAAAAGATCCAAGTAAGCAGCCGCCAATTAACTTTATTTCCAAAAATTACAATCAACATTGTTTTCAGGTCCAACCAGCCAAAAGTAATTTCATTGCTGGTGAGATTACAGATGTAGTTCATAAATGTAGCTTCATATAAATAATTGATATTATATGGTACTCTGGACAAGAAAGTATTAGACTATAGAAATAAGATTAAAGAACAAGCTAGTATCTGAAAGTAATTTCCAAATAAGGAATAATGAATTTAGGGAGATCCTTACAGTGAAGTTCCAGTGGGACTGATGCTATATCAGATTTTTGTGGGTACATTTTTTAAAAGGGGTTTGGAGTGAGTTATTCATCTTTTAAAAAGAAATTTTTATTAGGCATGTCAGGATATGTATGACTGATGGTATTTGCCAATTAAAAAATATGCAGCAGAAAACAAAAAGAGCAGACCTGAGCTACCTAGTGAGATAGGTAAATTCTGTAATGCTGGCTACTAAAGTAGAATTTATTTTAGTACAGCTGTAGGGTGCATTTTAATAGTGAAACAAGACAGACTACTCTCCCAAAAAGGTCCCTAGAGGCTGTAGCAGTGAAACAGCTGAAGATATTTCAGTGAGACACCACAACTAGAACTGTTCATACTATTCATGTATTCACAAGCTACTGACAGCACCTTTGGTTACGCTTTCTGCAATACTTCACACAGAATACTGAACATAGCTCTTGCACACACCTTAAGAGTATCCCACCTTTCAAACTATGCTCTAAAGATCAAGTGAAAATAGGTCCAAGTGATTATGGAGGTAGGAAATCTTTCTGAACTTAAACTCTCCTACAACAAGATAAGAGATGTGACTTGATCACTCTTCTGGAAACCAATTTCCACAAACTAGGATCCAGAAACCTATATTACAGTTTCTGCTCTGAGGAAAAGCAACGGATCTTTGAATAGGAACGCCATCTTGAAAAGTATCTTTAAATCTCTTTAAAGAGATTCTTTACTCCACTTACAAAAAAACCTTCCCTCTTCAAGATACTAAAGATTCACAAGGTCATTATTCACTCCTGTTTCTCAACAGGAGATTCAACAGATGACTTCCACTGTGTGCTTTTAATAACAATGATGCAGCAAGGTCCATGCAAAGGACAGTGCAGAGTAGTAGACATTTATCATACTGCAAGATGAAACCATACGCCAAAAAGTCAAATAGGGGAAGAACATGAACGAAAAAGATTAGCTATGTTCACCGGAAAATCACCTGCTCAGCTCTGATTAAGATTGCTGCATTGTTCAATTACAGCTCTTCAACAAAATATTTGCTGTGCTATTTCAAGTGACAAAGAACATCTTACGAAAAAAAAACTCTAATTATAACGCTGCCCCAAATTATGCCTGAACACACCTGTACAACCACACTGCTCGAATCTGGACTGAATAAAGCAATAAATGACCACAACCAAAACTAATTTTCAAAATGTGGACCTAGAGAACCATGTTGAGACATCCTTCCTATCCTAAGGCAATTAATTTAATCAAACTGTGATGATCTTGTCTAGTAAGAGAAAAAGCATATTAAAGCTCAAAAAAGGATTTCATGCTACTCCCTCTTGTACCTTACGTAGAGAACCAAGAAAAAAAAGTAGTGTGTTAACATCTCTAAATCAAATAGCTCTAAACAATCATATTTATTAGCATATACAAAAAGGGCAAGTACAGTGGAGACAACAGATAAGCCGACTAACCAAAGCTACTTACCTTCCACACTCAAAATGATAATTTGTTGCAGGAAACACTAATGAAACAAGGTATTCTTATCTTAATTCAAAATAGAATGACGAGTTCTCATACTGAAAATTTATACTTACGCTTTCAACTCAGCAAATCTCACAAGGATGCGAGCATAGCTCTCATCTTGACTGTACTTTTCTGCAGGTAATGCAGTCACTGCTTGACTGTAACGGCCAATGAGTCTATTGAGTAGGCTAACATCCATCTGAGGAACACCCTTTTTCTCTAGTTTAAGTAAAAAACATAGCCAATCTTCTGGATTATTTGTTGTCATCATTATTTGATTGACAGTTCCAGAGTTATCTGACAGAAAAACAAAAAATGAGATTGATTAATACAGCAGCAAACATGTACAGAAGAAAACACTTTTTATAAGCTTCTGTGCAAGACAGTTACTGACTATTTTTTAAACAAGATTAAAGCAACAGAGCTAAGAAATAATGAGAGATGAAATTAACTTTGTGGTCATTAATATTAAAGAAACATTAAATTTAAAATCATTTCGGTTAATGGTTCTTTCACTCACACTATGTTAAGATCTTCAAAAGTGACAGTAGAATAACAAAGCCAAATACCTGTTGTATCAGCTGAGATTTTAGTATAGTTAAATTCATCTGTGATATTCTCTTCATTTCTGTATTTGTTTTTCAAGTTTCTAACTCTATTCATGATTGATGTAATCTGTGGCAATCCTCTTTCACTTGGATCTGTCTCCTCCATCTGCAGGCACAAGGTTAAAAAACAATGGAGTTACTGAAGAACCCTGTTGTAGCTCACTTTGATTGGAATTACCATGGGAAAGCCTCTCCTGTATCATTTGGAGCTTGAGACTCAACCACATTATGTAACAAATACTCTATTTAAGCCTTTGTCAATGTAGTTATACAAGTAAACTACTTCACAAAAGACAACTTGGACAAATAAAAAGAATTGGTACTTAACTGATCCACTTAAATCCTAATCCATGCTTCACAGTAGCCCTTTCCAATAAGGTATATTCAACATTTGAATAAAATGGGGAGTGTGATGTGTTGCCTGAAATAGCTTCCAGTCCATCACATTAAATCACATTCTGTACTCATAATTAGGCTGGCTTTAGTTTAGCACACAGTGTTAATCCATGCTCTTTCCCACAGGTCACAGCAATTAGTTCTCACAGTGGGTTAAGCAGAAAAGAATTCACATTCGCCTCTGTTCAAAGGACAAAGACAAGTGACACCTATTTTTGAGTTTCTGAAAGGAGGTTTAAAGATTCAAAGACTTCTTATAAGAAACTTATGTCAAATCCCCAACATTCTGACAGTTTGTCAGCATCCACAGATAATACATGTACACAGCTGAGAGATAAGAATCTAGGCAATCTGAGCAGAGCAAGACTGTAAAAATAAACTAAAAAACCCCTAATGGTTTCTTCCTTTTCTGCCTACAATAAACAGCTTTTCCCACATCAATGTTCCATGCCTCTAACGAACATGAGAATTCTAGTAAAAACTGTGGTGAATTTAGTGCATATTCAGGGGTTTGACATTCTAATTACTGTGAAGTTTGGCCCAGAAACAAGGAAATTGATGCACTTCAGACAGATTAAATAGGTTCAAAGAAAGGCTAACTTTAGTGCTACAGTGAAATGTTAGGTTTTGTTCCTCTTGTACTTGTATATAACAAATCAACAGAAAGTTGCTAGAGGGTTAGAGACTTTAGATCTACTTTTAGGTGAATTATTGCAAGAGAGGAAATGAATTGAATGAAGTTCATCTACGTTTAACCCCACTACCTAAAAAAAAACACCAGGCACCACTCTCAGGAAGTCCCACAAATAATTTTTAGAGTGTTATTCACCAGAAGCTGGCATGTCTTTAAAAGCACCAGGCTTTCCCCAAGCAAGGACCATAAATCAGAAAGATTATCATGCTTACAAGAGCTTGCTTATAAGGCAAAAGTAGGCATATTTCATGCTCATCCTAAACTAGATACAGCCCAAGCCTGCTCTTGTTTATATCGAAGTGTTGTTTTGTAGGTTCAAAACACAGTTTCACTGTGTAAATTCCAAGACTTAGTCTAGCAAAAGCACCATCTACATTACCACTATGAAGAGGCCTTAGCACCTCAAGGGTCTGGAGAGACACTCAAATAGCCTCAAGCAAGACCTATGATGAAAAAACCCCAAAATCCTATGAAAGATAAAGACGGTATGCTAAATCAGTAGTATATGAAATACTATTTTGTTTCACTGAAAAGAGACAAATGACGGAACCCCCCTCATTTATATTCAAAATCGTACACTGAATAGATTTTAATTTCAATGCTTGTTTGGAACTTGCTTTAATACTCATTTCTCCCTCAGAGACAATTTAGGCTCTTCTGAGAATGTAAACTGTCCCATTTTGGGGATCACACTGCTAAAAATGACATAGGTGATTACTATAGCTAATACTGTTCATGTGCCATTCTACAGATGATACTTATGCACTTCATAAGGAAAATTTTAGTACACATTGCAGTTTTGCCTTTTAAAAATACTATAGAAGGGGCTACGGGAGATCAGATACTCCAAATCACCTCTTTATGGGTGAGAATATCCATGGAGATCTGATTTTCAGCTGCACCCACTCCCTCAAAGCATTGCTGAAGTCAGCTTCTCCAGAACCTGAAGCACAAGAAAACCAAAAGAAATTTACCTCATGTTAAGAAATACCACAATATCTCATTACAACCATAACTGCTAAAAATTCCCAGGTGGATTTTGGATTTCTTAAACACAGTCTTTATATTTTCCTCACCAATATCAAAGGTTCATTATTCTTCCTGCAGTGATAGCTTCCCAAATGCAGTAGACAAAAAGAAAAATAAATTTCTGTATAAATTTGATCTTAAGTTGCAACAATACTCAGCAAACTTACATTTCTGGTGTGCTGTTTAACTGCTCTAGGTTCAACTGTTACGGAGAAAAATTCTCTTGAAGAATGGATATGCCTTGTCAAAAAGGTAAGATGGATGAGGGCCAGACTACCTCAGATGATCCCAAGAACCCAAAGGCAAGAAATGAAGCTCTCCATCCTGAAGAAGTTCCTGTGCATCAAAAATTGATGGGTGAAACATTGAAAGCTTATTGTGAAAGCTTGCCTAATCTTCATATCCCAGAAATAGAGTTTTCATCAAAATCAATTAAACTATTCCTAGTTAGTAATAAAAAAAAGGATTAAAAAAGCTTAAAGACAACATTTGGAATGAGGACAAGCACTTCCAAATGTGTCAGCTTGCTGTGACCTTCAGAGACTAAAAAGTACACTAAGGGCATATTCATCTACATGTTGTCATGATTTGCCAGCAATCTTTCTACTCATGCCAATATTCAACCATAAGCAAGTATTCGCACGTTTTCTCTCAATCTGCTGCATAATTACTCTTAAAGAAATTGTTTGCCATAAATTCCACAGGTAAATATACATATTTATCTATTTAAAATGTGACAACAGTGAAGACCTAAACCAGCCACACGCTTTTGCAAAGGCACAGGATGGGAGCCGAGGTAGTAACTGCAACAGCTCCACTGCAGCATACCCGAGATGTGGAAATCCTACAGGACAGAAGGTTAGGGAGAGCCAGGGAACAGGGAGAACACGAAATGCAAAGATTAGGAAGAACTACCTCTAAATAAAGTGAAGTAGTTAAGTAACTCCAACCCCTCATACAGGCCCATCACACAAGGAGCCAAAGGACAGAGACTTGAGAGCAGCAAATGGATAAAGTGGCAGTACAAGTTGGTGGTAAGATTCCACATCTAACACACTCAAAAATATTCATTGATAATGAAAAGGAGTAACAGCATCCAGTCTCGAACTACTGTATTTGCTGTATTACACTACTTGTTCTGTTTATGTCTTCTATAGAGGAGAGGTAAAACAACACCTGTTTCTGAAGCATCTACCCAGGCTTTAAAAAAAAGATAATCTAGAAAAGTGCATAATCTTCCTGCTGTTTTGTTTACAAGTCCTAAATCAGGATTTTTTTTAAAAAGGAAAACAAAAACTCCCAACACCAAGAAAAACCGTCGTCGACTTAAAAAAATTAGCAACACTAGAAAAGAAATAAAATGGAAAAATATTACAATCTTACGTAACACCGAAAGGATAAGACACCAAGATGCAAAACAGAGCTAAGTAAGAAAGAGACTGAGCAGCAGCGGAGCAGCTGAGGCAATGTGGCATAAACAAAGACCGTGAGGCGGAAGACGCAACCAGCTCTCCTCGCCCTCAGGGGCGGAAGCCCAGCGAAGCCGCAGCCGCGGGGCTGCCGAGGAGCCCGGCCCTGCACGCCCCGCGGCCTCACCGCAGACCAGCGCCTCTGCTGCCCCCCGGTCCCTTCACCCACCTTGCCCCACTCCGCCGCTCCCCGGCCAGGTCCCTTCACCCTCGCTGTCCCTGCCGGCCGCGCTGACCCCCGCCCGCCCTCACCGAGGCCGCTGCGGGGCCGGGACGCGGCTCCGACCGAGCGCGTTCGCGCGCTGCCCCCGGTTTGAATGTGACCCACGCCCCAAGAGCGCCCTTCCCATTGGCCGGAAGGCGGGAGAAAGCGAGCTCTGATTGGCTGCAGGAGGGAAACACGCCCGCCCATTGGCCGGTGGCTGCGCCGTGCGCGGCGGCCGTGGGTCCCAGCGCCTTGTGGGGCCCGAGCGGAGGGGCGGGTGCGCATGCGCGCTGGGGCGGCCGCGGCCTGCTCGTGGTTACGGATGGGGAACAGGGAGATGGGGCTGCGTCGACTGCCTTAAATTATTTATCTGAAAATGCTTTCCTCGTTTGGCCACAGCCGGTTATAGTTTGAAGCTTCATTTAGTTGTAACGGAATAGCCGGGCTGTGTGTCCTTAACAGTACGTCTCCCTTTTCCTCCGAGGGATCGCTCCCGTATCTGCAGTGTGCCTGAGGCTGCCAGAGCAGCTCCTTCTCTGAGCTGTCCCAGGAATTCTGCATTCTGGATATACACAGTAAATTGTGTTCTTTGTAGCTGTATGGTTCTTCTGGTGCTTATAATGAATTCAGTATTATGCTAAATATAGTCTATTTTCAAGATTGATGGCACATATAAATCAGATGTGTATTTATTCCTTATTAATTTGATAAGTTGCATGATGTTATTAATAATAAGATCTGGCCTTTCATTGAAATTTATCTCATTCTTCTTTATTCATCTACATTTTAAATATCTCAGCTCCTCTAGTGATACAGGCTCACTGTAGACCGACAAAAAGATTTCAACAAGGAAATTTTGTCCAAACACCTATTTTAGAATGTAATGGATGATCCCATGGAGGTTCCTGTGTTTCTCTACTAAATAAGAGTAATTCTAATTAACAGCTAAGGCTAAGTGAGATGATCTTTTTTAGCATTGCCTTACTTCTCCTTCCGTATTTTTGGTGGGTTTGTTGTGTTGGTGACCTTGCATTCCACCAGAATCCAAATCTAGTGAAAATGTAAAGAAACAGCACAAGTTACATGAATCTGCTCTGCATTTGTGAGGGACATAGAGGTAGATTATTTTATTAGCAGGAGTTTTGATGGGTGTTAAAGGAGAGGAAAGTGGTATTGTTCTAGTAAGTGAAAAATGCCATAAGGGGCTGTCATTTGATTGCTGTAGTTGTGATAAGAAATCTCAATACCATATAGATTCCTAGCAAAACCAAAATAAATAGGAGAAAGAAGAGGGGATGGATCTTGAGGTGGGGGGGAAGCCCCAAACAAACAAGAGAAAAAAAGTCAGAAAAAGAAAGGCTGTAATACTTGTAGAAAAATAAAAAATAAAAGAACCTCCATTTAGTATTCTTCAACAAAACATAAAATATGCATGAGTTTTGGATGGTTGGTAGAACCATTCTTTATTTGCTTATAAATGTTTATGCTTCTCATTTTATTTAATATAAAGTCATAGATACATAGGGAATTTAAGAAGTGTATGAACTGAGGTCTCCACCTAAAGGTAATTCCACTTTAAATGACAGAAGTGAGTTGTGAATTGCAAAAAGTACTAGACTGGGTAACAACCAAAAAGAGAGAGAGATCAGTCTTTTGTAATGAGTCACTATCAGGGGAATCTTGTTTGACTTTTAAATACCTCATCTTATGGTAGGATTGATATTATTTTGGATAATGGTATTGTAAATCTAAATGTACCAAAGGTACAGGTGAGTCACGAAGGATTTTTCAAATGTTGATAAAATCTTTATAGTGCACTGTGGTGTTTTCTGTGGTAGATATAAGAGAGATGCCTTCCTCCTCTTGAAAATTTGGCAGCCACTCGCCCATCCTCTAAATTTGGTACTTGAGGTTTAATGTCCAAAGCCTATGAAGAGCTTATCTAAAAGAAAAAAAATAATGGTAAGTCTTTGGTTGCAACTGTTGACAGATGTTCAGTGTAGCTGCTTTGGTGGAAAGTGCATTTGGAGAGAGCTTTGGTGGGTATTTCATGGACACCATTTACTGAGAGTATCTGGACTATTCCTGACTCCCAAATCATTGCTACGACCTGTGGATGTCCATGAGAAGAAGCAAACAAACATTCAAGATGGCAGAGGCACCTCAATGGCTGAGAAGTTGTTCTGAAAGCAGTGAGTAAGTAACAACTACAAGATTTTTGAGCAGCAAAAATAATCACCAGATGTCAAGTATTCCCAGTCCTCCTACATGTTGTGTTTCCATGACATACTACTATTTGTCACTACTGAGTACTTTCAGATTTATGTGTAATTTTTTTGTTGTTGTTTTTGTGTGTCAGTGGATCTTGTCCCATTGTATTTCTTAATTTACAGAATGGATGCATGCTTTGTGATTGGACTTGGAAAGTAAACTTTTTTTCTATATTGATGGTCATATTCAATCAATAAAATAATGAGAACCATTGTTCTTTCAGACTTCTTTGTGTTGTTTGATTGCAGTCTCTGCTGGAGGTCTATAAAATGCACAGTTTTTCATGCACAAAAATACTGATGTAGAAACTGGCTAATCAACAGATTTGAAAAAGGAAGTGTCAATAAGAAGTGTTCAAGCTGTTCATGTCAGGAAAGATACCTCAGGGATTGGCTGTAACAGTGATGTGCACATTATAGTGGTGATTTTCAATTTTTGGTGATTAACTTGATACAAAGATAGTGTTAAGGCTGCAGGCAAATGATCAGGCTCTTGACTAGGGCCTGGATGGAGGTTAGGCTGGCTGAGGGGAGCTGGAAATACAGAGATTGTAATGAGAAGTTGCTGAGCATAACGTTTTAAGCAGCTGATGAAAGCTACAGATCAAACATTGAAAGTTGGCTGGATCTCACGTGTCATTATGGAGGAGCAGTGTGAGGGACAGCCAAACCTCACAGGTATTTGAAGTGGAATATTTTTAAAAGGTCATCTTTCCTGTAGCAGGATCATACTCCACAAAGAGCACCTACATAAGCACATCAAGAATACCAGCCAACAGAAGTATGAGCTCACTTGGGTGATGGTGCCAGCCATACCAGATGTGAATGCAGATTTATCAAAACTGGGAGCAATGGAGAAAAAGGAATTAGAGCCAGATTCTGTATGGGGGAGACTGGCACAGGGAAAAGCAGGTGCAATACTCAGTCATGCCACATTGTCCTTATTTTGGCTGAGATAGAGTTAATTATTTTCCTTATAGCTGGTAAAGTGCTGTGTTTTTGGTTTAGTAGGAGAATCATGTAGATAGCACCCTGATGTTTTGTTTGTTACTCAGTAGTGCCTACCCTAAGTAAAGGACTTTTCAGTTTCTCATACTCTGCCAGTGAGGAGCGGCACAAAAAGCTGGGAGGGAGCACGAGCAGGACAGCTGAGCTGAACTTGCCAAAGGGATATCCCATACCTGAGAACATCATGTCCTGTATATAAACTGGAAGGAGTTGGCTGGAAGGGCTTGATCTCTGCTTGGGGATGGGATGAGCATTGGTCAGCAGGTGGTGAGCAATTATATTGTGCATCACTTTGTTCTCTTAGATTTTATTTCTTTCTGGTTTATTTTTGTCTCCTGTTTTGCATTAAGATTATATTGTTATTTTATTTTACTTAAATTATTAAACTGTACCTATCTCAACCCATGGGTTTTTCCATTTTTTTTTTCTGATTCTCCTCCTCATACCACAGTGGTGGGGTGGGGAGTGGTGAGAGATGCTGTAGTTAAACCATAACAATCCTTAGCAGCTCTTTTTGGCTCCCAACATGGGGCATGACATCTTGAGGTAATGACAAATCTGACTAGAATATGTTAGAACAATTTTATTATAAGCATTTGTTATATCAGTTTAATAGTCCCTGGTCACCATGTTGATTTATTTGCTCTCAAAGTTGGTGTGCTTGTTCTTTCAGATGTGCTATGTCATACCTTACTTGCAGTATCTCACCCATGGAAACAGGGAACTGAGCTAAAGCTAGCACCTTGCTGTATTTTGTAGCTCTGACTTATGGTATGACAGAATTGCTGGTCATGAAAGAAATCTAGTATTTATACTAAGCATTGCTGTCACCGCTGTCATCACTGTACTTTGGGAGCCATCTATTGGAAACTATTAATAATGATAACCTTTTTACCTACCAAGTTCATCACTATTCAGTGCTCTGCAGGGAAGAAAAAGTCTCTGGATGAGAGAGCAAAACAACAGGCACTGTGGTTACCCCAACCCTGGGGACAGACACCACGGCTGATCCAACTCCCTTGACAGGCACTGCAGCTGAACGTGAGAACCAACCTGTGCTGATGTCAGATGCTCCTGTAGATGAGAAGAAATGGACATGAAAGCTCACTTGGTAAAGGACAAGGCAAGGAGGAAGAAGCAGAACAAGAGGTGACCCCCTGATCCTATCCTTAATGATGTGCAGGATGTGTGAAAAGATTTCAGCCATCATCCAGATGAGCATGTTTGTCACTTGCCTGCTCCAGTGCTGGGATAATGGATCTAATACCCTGGAATTAGAGGGTAAGGAAGCCAAGCAGCTGGGATCACTTTCTAGGTAAAGGGAGTATTGATAAGGCAAATGGAAAGGGGAACATAAGTCCTCAACCTGTGGTGGAGATGATTCCTGCCAGGCATGAAGGAAAGGAATCCCTTCAAGAAAGACAAGTGGACCACCATGAAGAAAAGTAACCAGTACCTTCAGGAATTAGCCCTGCTAGAGATGATTTATTCTGCCCCAAACAATATGCAGTCACCCACAGATCAAGATGAAATCTAATGTACATGACCCATGTGGCAGAAATTTGTACAGAATGCACTTTCTGCATGAGTCTGCCACCTCATTGGCAGTAATTATCTGGAAAGAGGCACCAATGATGGATTTAGTGGCTCACCAACTCCAGCAATATGAAGAAAATATCTCCTCCTCCCTATAAACCTGTATATTGGCAGTAGAAAACCTGTCCAAAAGTAGGAAAAGCTGTTCCAGGAGTTCCAGGAACAAAGAGAGGATAGGTCCTACTCCTCACCTGTACAGACCAGTATCTCAGCTATTGCAGT